CACAAAGAAGATTGTCGGAGCCTCTGCAGGTGGTGTTATTCACATCATCTTCAACGAGCTCGGACCAGATGCAGCAGTCAAGTTCTTCAATGCCTGCCAGCGCATCTGTAACTGGTGGCTTCTTACGTACGGTTTCAGTTTCGGTGTGGGTGACACCATCCCAGACCCTGCCACCTCCGACAAGATTGCCTCCGAAATTGGCAAGTCCAAGGCCAAGGTTGAAGAGATCATTGCAACGGCTACTAAGGACGCGCTTGAGCCCATGCCTGGTATGACGATTCGTGGTACATTCGAATCCAAGGTCCAGAAGTTCCTCAACGAAGGTCGTGAGGGTGGAGGTACTGCGGCTCAGACCAGTTTGAAGGACTTCAACAACGTTGTCCAAACTGTCGTTTCCGGTTCCAAGGGTTCCACTGTCAACATCTCTCAGATGGTTGCCCTCGTCGGTCAACAAGCTGTGGAAGGACAGCGTATTCCCTATGGTTTCAAGTACCGGACGCTGCCGCATTTCTCCAAGGATGACTACTCGCCAGAGTCTCGTGGATTCGTCGAAAACTCGTATCTGCGCGGTCTTACGCCATCGGAATTCTTCTTCCACGCCATGGCTGGTCGTGAGGGTTTGATCGATACAGCAGTCAAGACAGCTGAGACTGGTTACATTCAACGTCGTCTCGTCAAGGCGCTCGAAGATGTTATGGTCAAGTACGATGGAACTGTGCGTAACTCTATGGGAGATATCGTTGAGTTCATCTACGGTGAAGATGGTTTGGATGGCGCACACATTGAGAACCAGTCCATGGATATCCTCATGGCTTCCGAGGCCGACTTTGAGGATGGATACAAGCTTGACGTTCTCACGACGGACTACCCGGAAATTCCAGTGTCGAAGCTGGAGGGTGCTACTATGTTCCAGGGTGACGTCGACGTTCAACGAGCCCTGGACGAAGAGTTCGAGATGATCAAACTTGATCGTCAGACTCTCCGCAAGAATGTGACCGACGAGAACCTAGAGTCCTTCCAGTTGCCGCTCAACATTCAGCGCATGATCCGGTCCGCTCAGGCGCGGTTTAATATCAACCCCGAGAAGGCTGTCAGCAACCTACACCCCATCGAGACCATCAGACAGGTGCAGGAGACTCTGGAGCGATTGGTTGTCATTCGTGGCACCGACGAACTGTCAAGAGAGGCCCAGAGCAGTGCAACGTATCTGTTCAAGGCTCATCTTCGCGCTCGTCTCGCATACAAGAAGCTTGTCGTTCAGCATCGCCTAAACAAGGAGGCCCTGAACTATGTGCTTGGTGAACTCGAAGACCGCTTCCTCAAGGCCGCTGTCGCTCCTGGTGAGATGGTAGGTGTTCTGGCCGCGCAATCCATCGGTGAACCCGCTACACAAATGACGCTTAACACTTTCCATTTTGCCGGTGTGTCTTCTAAGAACGTCACTCTCGGTGTGCCCCGTCTCAAGGAAATTCTGAACGTCGCTGCCAACATCAAGACTCCGTCTATGTTGGTCCGCCAAACAGACTCCAAGGCCAGCCAACAGGATGCCAAGCGCCTGCGAAGCACCATCGAGCTCACAACCCTCCGCTCATTGACACAAGCTGTTGAGCTTTACTACGACCCCGACATCCAGTCCACGCTAGTTGAGGAGGACCAGGACATGGTTGAGTCCTACTTCATTCTTCCCGAAGAGGACGAAGTTATTGAGTCCCAGTCCAAGTGGTTGCTTCGAATCATCCTCGACCGCAAGAAGTTGTTGGACAAGAGTATCACCATTGGCGAAGTTGCCGGCAAGATCAAGGAAGAGTTCAAGCCTAATCTGGCAGTCATCTTCAGTGACGAGAACGCCGACGAGCAGGTCATGCGTGTTCGTTTCATCTGGGACCAGAACCTCCAAAAGGATGACGAGGATGAGGACGAGCGTGACGAGCGATGGATGCGCAAGCTTGAGAAGCATCTTCTCGATGACGTTACGCTACGTGGTGTTCGCGGTATCGAGCGTGCTTTCATCCGAGACCACATCACTACCGTTGAGTTGGCAGACAAGTCTCTTGTACACTCAAAGAACAAGGACGAGTGTAAGGAGTGGGTGCTCGATACCACAGGTACTGCACTTGCGGAGGTCCTTGCCATCGAGGGCGTTGATGCCACCAAGACCTACTCCAACTCTTTCATCGAGATCCTTGCTGTTCTTGGAATCGAGGCGGCTCGTGCAGGTCTACTCAAGGAGCTTGGTATGGTCTTGTCCTTCGACGGTTCTTACGTCAACCATCGTCACATGGCCTTGCTCGTCGACATCATGTGCCAGCGTGGTCTTCTCATGGCCATCACCCGTCACGGTATCAACCGTAACGACACTGGTGCTCTTATGCGTTGTTCTTTCGAAGAGACAGTCGAGATTCTCCTGGAAGCTGCCGGATTTGGTGAGCTGGACGACTGCCGTGGTGTATCTGAGAACATCATGCTCGGTCAGTTGGCGCCTATGGGTACTGGAGAGTTTGACGTGGTCATGGACAACGCCATGCTTCTCACCATGGTGGAGGACAACTCCAAGATGATGGGTGGCGCTGCTGGCGCTGGCAACTACCTGAGTGACGGAGCCAACACACCCTACGACTTGGGCTCTCCTACGTACGAGGGTGGCATGGGTGTCGGCTCTTACGATCAGGTTTCGTTCTCTCCTATGGCTGCCGCTGGTGGAGGTGACGATTCCGGTGGTCTCACTGACTATGGTCGTATGTACGGAGGTGGTGGTTTCAGCCCCGGCGGGTACGACGGAGGCAGAAGCCCGGGTGGTTCAGGCTTCACTGGCATGTCCCCTGGCTTTACCAGCCCAGTGTCTCCAGGCTTCTCACCAACTTCGCCTGGTTACTCGCCTACCTCGCCTGGTACTGCCAGCCCTCGTTTCGCCGCGACATCGCCAGGATACATGGCTTCGCCTACATCCCCGCACTACTCGCCTACATCGCCTCGATACGGCTCACCCACATCACCGTCGTACTCGCCCACATCTCCTGCTGGCTACTCCCCGACGTCGCCTCAATACTCTCCCACATCGCCCAACTACAGCCCAACGTCCCCAACGTTCATGGGTGGCGCGACGTCCCCCGCGTACAGCCCGACTTCGCCGCAATACAGCCCCACATCGCCGCAGTACAGTCCCACAAGCCCTCAGTACCAAGCGAGCAGCAACAGGCAGTCTCCGACCTCACCCACGTCGCCGCAATACAGCCCGACGTCTCCTCGCTACTCGCCCACGAGTCCAGCAGGCTCCTTTTCACCTACCTCCCCGCGCTACAGCCCTACCTCTCCGGGCGGAGCGTACTCTCCTACGTAAGTACCCCCTTTGGTCATAGTTGTAGACAGCCCTCCGTTTATCTTGCACGTGCTAACATTGATTCCAGATCTCCAAAGCAATAGTTGGCTTGATGGCGATGTAGGTATCGGAGCCTTCTTTTTTCTCTCTCGATCTCTTCTTCTAGTTTTTGTGTATGAAAATGTTCTTTTCCTCCTCTCTCTCTCTCTTTGCTGCCATGGCTTGATGTGTGCGTGTGGATGGTACGCTGTTCCTTTAACTAGGCTCACGGCAATCCTCCCTACTACTACCATACAAACATGGAATTTGAGCAATGAGTGATGAGGTTTTCACACGTTTGTACCACTATTATCCGAAGCTGCATGGTGTGGCACCAAAAACCTGCTTTTACGCGTTTCTTACTGTTCGACTTGTCACGCACGCGGATCAAGATTGCATACAAAACACCCTTCGTCCTTCCATCTTACGTCAAGGGTTGTTTTACGGGCGTTTAATCATTGCTTCACTTGCTTTTTACCGAACTTACTTTGGGACGAAAATTGCGCACGGGCGTTTGGAAGCGGAGCGTTGTCTATCTGTCTTGCTTTACACGCCCTCATAACATAATCGGGGGCTTTCTTTTCGAAACACAGAGAGATGGATGCTTGCGCATGCTTAGAAAGACAGACCCCGCTATAAATTGCGTTTTCGATGGGGCTTTTTTACTTGCTGGTGGGAAAATGAGACGCATGAGATGGGAATATAGAGTCACGTTGTTGCGTTGCTGCGCGTTGGCTGAAGTCTGGGTGCTGAGTAGATAATTAAGAAGAAATATGATGATGTTATTGTCAATTTGATGTGTGGTCTGCTTCGAGGATGTGATGATGTGATGAGGTGTTTGACGTCTTCTGCCTTCTCTTCGGAACATGCATCACCTAACTTGTGTCTTAAGATTCAGTTTTACTAGGCGCTACGATCTCGTCTGTTTAGTCGTCAAAACATGGGAGCGTTGGGGTCGTGGTTTTCGCACTCGGCAATCGCGCGATCACGTGTCTTGAAGCGCGGCCTTCGTTGTCGCGTCGGTGGTCGCTTCCTCGCTCTTCCACCTCACTCCATTTTCACACTTTTGGCTGTTGACTGCCACGGACGGCTTGTGAGTTTTTACTGCGGTCGGTGAGAATCGAGATCGCTCGCGAAATGATCAAAAGGTATTGGCCTGGCTTCTGGTTGATCGCTCTTTGTGTTTGCCGTTCGCGTCAGCGCGGCGGACCGTACCTGCCTCCAGGGCCATCATACGACACCACACACATTATCCACGATGCGCATAACAGTTTCACCCTGCTACGCTCGGGCTCGGTAGATCGAGCGGCAGCTTGAGATCCTTGACTGCGCATCTACAGTTACCGGTTATGTCTCTCATAACACGCCTCGACGCATTCCACTAACGCCGTGTGCAATCGTTCACGCCTATGTTCTTTCGCTACCCTCGAGAGACAATCATGTTTCACATGCAAGAAAGAGATAGTTTTGGGATCTTTTCTATTCTATATCGACCTCACGCTATACCAAAAGTCGGAGATCAGCTTCGCTATCTCATCCATGGGCGCCAAATCTGCGGATAAGTCAAGACAGGGTCAACTGCTTACACAATGCGTCCCTACAAGTCTACCTCTCATGACCTTCAAAGCGGTGGGTAGATATGGTCTCAGGATCCCGGATGCTCATTGATCGAGTCCAAGGCTCTTGTGAAGGCCGTCTTGCCTCCTTTTGCGGCATTGTTCGGATTACGCTTGGCCTTGGCGTCGAGGTCTGGATTACCTGGCGCATTGTTACTCAAAGCTTTCCTGGAGTTGAGAATAGTGGCAGGAGCAGAGGGTTGGGGCGCGGCGTTTGATCTGTCCTCAAGCAAGTAACTTTTGTTACTGATCGCTCTCCGCATGATTTCCACCTGATTAGTCAGTTCTTCGGCAGGTTGACCATCGTCATACGCCACACCTAGCCTGTTTTCTAGCTCTTTGAGATCCTTCACGGCCTGCAATCTCCGCTGTTCATCCGTCAAAGGAACCTCTGGAGCGCCGATATCTTTGATCATACCATATCTGATCGTCTCGCCCCAATTCAAGAGATCATAGATGCGGTTTGGGCCGTCCTTGTACACTGCTTTGGGGTGGTCTGTACATTGTTGCGATCTTACGCAGAACGCATTCATACAGCGGACACGATAGACTTTTCCCTCGTACAAGAAGTTGATCCACTCTAGGCAAAATCCAAACTTGCCGTCCTTGAAAGCCGCACGATCCTTAGCGCCTTCGCCGGGCACGTGGTGGGATGATTCGAATAGTGCGCCTGTGGCACCATTTCTTACATTCTTATTCCAGTCACCGCCTCTCCAAACTCGGACTGTCTTGGAAAAGAGGTCGTCGAAATTCTTGATGATGTATTCGTCGGGGTAGGTTTGCTCCGTGAAGGCGAGTCGAGGAGGGAGTGGCTTGGCCTTCGTTTCCTTTTTGGGTTCCCCAGCACCGAGTTTACTCTTCAAACCCTTGAATATGGGCATCTTGGATTATCACCTAGTCCTATGATGGCGAGACTTGCTACACAGAAGACTGAAGAATACAAGAGGTGTACAGCGAATGTGTGTTGCGGCCGAGGACTGCGAAGAGGAATAACGGTTCCTGATATCGACAGAGCTAAAAGAGTCAAATATGGGAGGATGAGGTAGGAGCTTGAATGGATCACGGGCGTATACTTTGAGTACGCGTATGTTTCTGTGGGGATAGTTGAGAAATCCGTACTGGAGTGCAGGTTGCGTAGGAAGTTGTGTGCGTATATCTATGGCAGGGAGAGTGCCTTTTGATATACTACGAGGTACGAGAGGTGAATGGTCATAGCTGCGACTGGGTTGCCACAGTCTTCCTTCGCAAGCTGTCAGCGGTCCAAAGTACCACATACCTTTCACCAAGCTAATGAGACACAGAAGATCTTGTGCTGATACTAACTTATTTCACACTTGCCTTTGGTACACCATGAAGCAAAGGTTCTATTGCACTTGGAGGTCCTTCTTCGGAAAGACTTGGATGGCTCCTCGCCAAGATCAGAGCAGCTTGTCTCGTTGCTTGTACGGAGTCGCTCCCATCAGACACGACAATGTCTCATTACTGTTTTGCCGCAATTACCGGAGATTAAAGACACCATCAATAGGGTGATTGGGTGACATCTCGGTTTCTTCCTTTGATTCCCTCATTGTGTGGCTACACAATAAGCGTGCATTCCAACATAGAACTACGGTATGTCTTACATAGTCTAGAACCGCTTGCTTTCGGTCTCACTCATATGGCAGAGTTTGTTGACAAACGCGAACGCTCGGATAGTGGTCCTGGCTCTGTACGTCAACGCTTCTTGCTCACGGCCTTCCGTTGTCTTTTAGCGTACTTCACTACTATCAGCGCTGGTCCCACAAAAGGCGTGGCCGTGCTGAGATAGATTCACTTGGTAAGTCCAAATCTATACTCGTATAAGAGTCTCCTACTTTGTGCCTTTGTTGTTACTGACTCTTTGTCTGGGGCCGGCAACTCAACCCCCAAGACCGCAACACTCCACACTTGAGTTGACAAGACCTGACCACCAACAGCGCCAGTTTATTGAAGAAATTCAGAACCCCTGCGCAACGATGTTTGGATTCAAGGACAAAAAGGATGTACGCGCTGCGACTGGGACTTTGTTCCCCACCCCCAAGACATCTACTTCATCTCATGCTACTTCATGTAAGCCATTCGAAAAGGTGGTTAATCTCGGAAAAGACATCTGTCATTCATTCGCCACTACCTTGGGCCGCAAGACCTCTGAGAAGCCGTCCTCGACGAATCAGTCAAACTCCCCGATTCGTCTACCAAGCGACACGCCGACAGCAACCACTTTGTCACATCACACATCAGAAGTCTGCAACACTGGTCCACCCTCACGATCGTCTTTAACGTCGACGGCTCCAACCGACCATTCTCTCCCGCGTCTTGACTGTGGTGACACATTCTTCGTACCAGGTATCTCTCCTTCCCTCGAATCGCATTCGAACCTAAAGCATCCACCGACCCAGGCACAAGACGGCCTTTCGGTACGCTTGTTGGAACCCAACGCCTACGAGCTTCCCACTAAATCTGTAGATCAAGCCGAAGGGGAGATCTCCGCGCTGCCAGAGCAGCCTGCTGTGAAAAAGGAAAAGACACATCGTCTGCGCCGCTATGTGAAGGCTGCTTGTAAGAAACTTGACGTCTCACGCTTCATGGATCTCCGATTCTCGAAGCTCAATCCAGACAAGCCAGGCCGCAATGACTCCGCAGTTGGCTCGGGTACACTTTCTGATGCGGAGAAGGGCAAGCGTGGCGAAAGCGCGAACACCAACAAAGACGTTTCAGATAAAGGTGACGGCCCGCGTTGCGACTTCAAGACGATTGAGGCAATTCCCGATGCAAAGTACCGCGAACTGATCAAGGCCTGTGATCTTTCCTCCTCGCTCACCACTACCGTCGAAGTAGTGCGCCGCGCGAAGGGCACGTTCAACGCAGCGACTTTTGTCACTGTTTGTGAAGGCGAGCAAACTCGCAAGTACGTTGTCCGCGTCCCTGGCCATGGTACATTTGCACACTGGACGGAAGCAGACTCCTACGTGTTGAAGAACGAAGCTCAGCTAATTGAGTACATCCGCAAGAACACAACGGCACCTGTCGCACAGGTCATTCACTACTCCACGGGTCACGACAACGCGCTCGGTTTCCCGTACATCTTGATGACGATGCTACCCGGTACGCAAGCTAACAACATCTGGTTCCCAGAAGATTATCCATGCGTCGAGTCCGATCTCTTCCAACATGCGGATGTCCCGCCTCCCCATATCGAAAAGAAGCGTCTCAAGTTCCTACGCTCTTTGGCACGAGTAATGATTCAGATTCAGACTCTCAAATTTGAGGCCATTGGAGCACCGACGTTCGACGACGACGGCAATCTCATCGGTGTTGGACCCACGTGCCACTGGACATACAAAGATGGTGATGAATCTTTTAAACGTCCACCGGCTGCTACAACCGAGGAATATATTCGCGCTCGCGTGAAAGCCAAGATGAAACAGATGAATGATAAGAGTCTTGAAGATATACTGAAAAACGATGATTGGGACGAAGACGATGGGCGTGAAGCCAGTGGTGTCCAAGCCATTCTCGGCATCATCTTCCGTCAGCCGGCGTTCCGCGGGCAATCTGGCGAGACTTTTACCCTCCACCACCACGATCTCGACCTGCAAAACATCCTTTGCGACGAGGAGGGCAACGTAACCGGAATCATCGACTGGGATAATGCAATCGCAGCACCACGCTGTATCGGCGCAACAGCTGTTCCCATGTTTCTCCGCAACGACTGGTTCCCACCTTACGCGCTTGGTCTCGAAATCCCGCCGTGCATGGCATGGAACTACGAACACTACCGCGAAATTTACGCCGCCGCCATAGCTGAAGCTAGCGATGCTGAACCCGCAGAGTTCACGCTGAAATCGGGTCTCTACCAAGCCGCTGTCGCCGCAGTAACTCAAGGTGGGGACGCAGATAGTCTCATAGACAAGTTACTCCGCGAGATACCTCATTGTCGTGTGGATTACTGGCAGTTCGTTAGGGGGATGGGTCGGGGTGGTTGGGACTCTGCGCGCGCCCTGCTCCAGACGCATTTTGCCCGCATCTTCGAGCCGGTGATGCCGCCTGAGGGTCTTCTTGAGGCGCTGGATGAAGAGCTGGAGATGCAGACTACTTGGTGGTCGTGCTGTGATGAGCTCATCGACTTTTATGAGGCTGAGAAGGGGATAAATGGTGAGGAGGAGGAGGATGCAGAAGAACTCCCGCATGATACTACCGCCGTCTCAGGTTGAAGGGACAGAGAGTCCAAACCTCAAACAACACACTACACCTCACTACGGTAAACCGACGAAAGCCATGTTTCCCGACTAAGCAGCTCACTACCTCAAACCTCATCGGCTGGTAAACATTGCAAATGCGCAGGAAAGAAGACTGTCCTACCATCGCGTCACCGTATAATACGATGCCTGGCTCGCTTACACGTGCTGTTTCTCCATGGCAGCACCTTCAAGTGAACCGCCGGCGTAACGTAACAGACGCCCAATAGTTGCCTGCTCAACTATAATGTTACACACACTTGGAAAGTTCACGGTAATCAAAGCGTGAAGTTCACTCTCGATTCTGTTATCGGGCATTAACGAATATACATTAAAGTCAGTCATTTCCCAAAGTAATAGAAGATACATTTATAATATATCGAAAAGCAAATAGACCATATATGACATCTGACCGCGCGATAAGATGTGACCAGATCCGTGTTTCGCGTTGGCAAATTATGAGGATTTGCATTAACTACTAAGAATGACCAGCCAGACGTCGCATTACTGACGGTACAATCATGGCCCTAATCCTAAACACCGAAGGCGCCTCGATCTACAGAATGGTGGCCTCATCGCCGACGGTCCCGATCATCCCGGCGATAGCGATCCCGACTCCTCTCCCGACGGCTGTCACGATGGCGATTTGGGCTACGACTTCGCTCTCTCCTCTGATTGTACCGTCCATCATCACCGTCGCGACGTTCGCGCTTGGGGCTCCGACTACGATTTCGCTTGAAGCGGTCGTCATGGTATTCCGTCCTCCGTTCACGCCTCGGTGTGTCGTCTCGTCGTTCATCTCTTCCGGTATCCCTCGGCCGTGGCGCAGTATCTTTTGAAACGTCGCGATCGGCCACCAAGTTGTTGACAACAGAATCCGACATGATCTGGCGTCCGGAGCCATCACGATACTGCTTCTTCTTCTCGAGGTTGTCGATACCACCGAAACCACCTGCAGCCCGTCTCCGCTTCTTGTTCGTAACGTCCCGCCAATCGTCGGCAATCTTGGAGACGGACTGGGAGAAGTCGACGTGTATGCGGTGATCGTCGATCAGAACACCATCCATCTTGAAATAGGCCTGCTCGCAGTCCTTCTGATTGGTGTACTCGATAAAGGCGTACTGCAGGCTGTCACCTGTGCGCTTGTCCCTGATGACCTCGCAGCTGAGAATCTTGCCGAATCGCGAAAAGATAAGCTCCAGATCCTCGTCTTGCGTCACTGGGTTGAGCTTGCACACGAACAGCACGTTCTCAGGCGGTGCGACTTCGGCGAATGGCAGATCACCTACCATCTCGAGCGTGAGGGCTTGTGCGCGCGCCTCACGTTCTCTGCGTACCTTTTCCAGGGCTTCCGGGTCGTTGTCCTCCTCGAGGTTCTCATCGTACGCGACGCGGACGGTGGCGAGCTGTGCGGCGGAGGGTACAGGGCTCTCGGGTGGCTCCACGAGGCCGGCGGGGTCGTCGTATGGGTCGTCGAGGACGACTGTGTGTAGTATGCGGATGTCTTTGAGTGGCTGGCCCTGGTCATCGATATATGCCGTGTTTATCTTCTCCAGCGTGTCAAAACCCTCTACCACTGTTCCGAATATGGCCGCTTTGCCGTCCAGGTAGTCGATGTTCTGTCCCAGCGTTATGATGAACTGACTGCCGGCGAACCGCTCGTCTGGATCTTCGGGGTTCGGCGCGGTCGCCATGCTGACGGTTCCCATCTCGGCATGCTTGAGCTTAGGCTTGAATTCGGGTACGAACGTCTTCTTCGCGGGCTGTGCGGGGTCGAGCAAGCCCCATATTGAGCGACCGCCGTCGCTGTCTTTGGACCCAGGGCCGATGGGGTCGCCAGTCTGGAAGGAGAAGTTTGGTTGGACGCTATGGACGGGGGCGAAGTTGTAGTACTTGACTTTGCACAGCTTGAGAAAGCTAAGGCGACAAACCGTCAGTGTCTGTTTATGCTCAGCTTGGGAAGACAGCGGGATGGAGCATGCAGCATGCAGGTGCGAAAACCCAAGGCGCGCGTAGGGATTGGATCGACTTACTTTTCACAGCATCTGGGCGCATCGTCAACCAACAGGTCGATGGTGATATCTCCGAGTGACGTTTCCAGCAGCACAGACATGGTTTGGGCTATGTTGTGCCGAGAACGAGTGTTTGTCGCAAAGGTTCGCCAGCGCGCGCGACAGCATCCGAGACCGCGTAGCCTTGACGCTTAGTCATCATGACGTAACGCCCAATCTGGTCTAGCTCCAGGTACAGGTCGCGTTTCTCCACCTTCACGTCTCGCAAGCTGCTGAGCCAATACTCCCTGGGCAACGTGCCCCAGCAGCCTTCACACCAGCCCGCACTTCAGATCGTCGTTTGGCCCTGCTTGTCTACATGCAAGAGCAACGTCCTGATGCATACACTACCGACGTTGACAGATCGAACTTAGGATGCACCTGGGAGATGCAGGCTTCCACGCTTGTCAAGCCATTGTCCGGAAATAGTGCGAGTACCAAGAAAGAGCTCTGAGTACTTTTGGGAGGCGGACCGTTGAGTGCTACCCGGCGTCTGACGGCAATCCCTGCACTCAGATTCGGGCAGCCACTGCATTGCCTGCTGCATATCGATCCGAAATCCCCGGCCCCGTCCGTCAGGAGCATTGGACCAAAGGGCATCGTTTTGTATATTGGGCATATCTCCCCACCACCGGCTGTCAAAATCCTGGAGCGGGCCTCTGCTTCCCGCTTCGACTTGCTACCAGCCGAAGCCTGACAGCCAGCCCAGACTAGAGTCACCAGTTTATCCTGTTTCGAGGACTGCGGGATTATCTCGCTGGAAGTAGAGAAATCTCTGTTATCACTGCTGTCTTCGATATTGCAGGAGCTCTTCTGCTCCAGGGAGGCGACACAGCATGCCTGACAATTACAGGTGTGGTGACACTGTCACTGCGAAGACGGAGCTTCAGCAGTTCGCTCATGCGTACTCGCAACCTAACTTTCCAAAGACGCACAGCAACGATGGATCCACGAGCCTTGTAATCTGCCTGTCATCCCAACCCCACGGGCTTCAGACCGGATGCGGGTATAGCCTGACCCAACATGACTGTGCGAGTTGATGCACAAGCTAATGCACATCGATGCATTGAACCGGGGTATGAAGCTTTGAGCCCAGAAAGATCGCCTTACGATGATGGGTCATTTACATGGGATGCGCATCGAAGTTTGCTTGCAGCTTGGCGCTGGCCTGTGCTGCGCACATTGGCTTGTTACATCGACAGATCGAGCAATTCCGGTCCTCACCATATGCCATAGCGCTACTAATCCTAGGACCCTCGAGGTGCAGAGCAGGTTTGTTTCACCCCCTGGCATACTCAAGCTTCGAGCGCGCTCGGATAAGTCACTCATAGTGAACACGGAACATTACTTTGAGATACGCTACGTAGCATCATCTTCATATCGGCTCTACGTGGTACCATCTGGAAGCCGGCCCATCATCGGATCCAGTTCTTTTCGTTCACCGCGATCCATAATAGGCATGGGACCCACCGGAACCTTACCCCAGCTTTCCACGTATATCCGTTTGCCGTGGGGCTGTGGGATAGATGCCAGCGGTAGCATACATGTTCAGTGCAGGGCTGTTGGATCGCCAATCGTACAATCCTCTGCCAACTCCCTGGACCATCCTCAGCAGCCAAACTTGTAAGGCTGAACAGATTGTTAGCAAATGACGTGATTTGAGGTACTACCAGCGGTATTGGCTCGTCAGTCAGCCAATCAGAGGGTCTTCAAGGAGGCTGGCTATCATCTGCAGGTACGTTTCAGCGCAAGCCATGTATGCTCGAAGCGATTAGTTGATCTGACAACAGACCCTTACCAGGATCAAATGTGCCAATATATGCTACAAGCAGTACTACGAGACTTGAGAGCCCTTAGTAGTTTCCTTCGCTGGTCGACAGCGTGTTATCCCCCACAGAAAGCCCGCTCCTCGCAAGTGTAGCGCACTAACTCTTTTGACACCCCTGCGAGCCTGGCGCACTCGGCCTGGATTAGGGCAAGTCGATTGAAATCGTCAAATCCGTGCCTCACATCCCGGATCCGCGGTAACACCATGTCAGTTACAAACATCCATCGACTGTTTGCGAAAGATCAAGCGTAGCTGATAACGTGGCTTCTTTGTAACAGGAAAAGTCATCAGTGTTTGTCCGATTGGGTATCTGCTAAAGCCTCACGACTACGAGATAGCCCCATCGAGGAAGGGGTGGGGGCCACATCACATACTTCATGGGTCTTCATTCGGCTCTGGCGCTTGTCATGAAGAAGTATTCACAGGACCTAGGCCGTACAATGTTTCACCTGTCTTCTCTCCGCGGGGCTTGGCCAGTGCTCTCTGGGAAGCGCAGGCCCAGGTTCTTGTACAGTCACCGTACCGCGTCCATGCATGCAGGTGTCCGGAGGCACTAACGAGATAGCTCTCATGGGGGACAGAGGTCACAAACAAATTCCTGATCAACACTCACACTCGAAGCCAATCTTTGGAGCCACGTTCGCCCTGCATCATTCTCTTATCCAGTATAACAGTCTTTGCCGACGCAAGGAACTCGTTTGGGTTATAAACATAATCCTGCCAGCCGATCATCGTATGACCTGCTCACCGGTTCATTACACTTTCTCCCTGGAGGAGCGCCCACGGTCCAGTCACCAACTACTGCCCTTTCTTGACTCGGGCGTTGCATCCCGCGAACGCTATCCGAATCATACCTGTGGGTAATTCGCCAATAGTTGATCTTGTTGGTATCCTTGTGAGATGTAAGTCGACTTCAGGTCATGATGACTGAAATAGCTGACGTTCAGTTGATGCGTCAGTATGTCAGTCATGGAGTACGGCAGTCCGCGACGCTGTTTGCCTCACAACCTATCCTATCCAAACTACATGTACAGCGATCGCAATGCTCCGCTGTCCTTGGCCCATAATACGCGAGAAAATCCACGAGGTTATCCCATGGGCGGCCCAGTGGGCGGTATGCATAACCGAGCCAGCATGGAAGAGCCCATGATGGGAAATGGGCCAGCGAGACGTCGCATTGCAGTAGCGGTATGTCAACATGTGTTTCAATAATTTCGGAAGCATCCACAAAGAACACAATTCCTGACTGCCTTCCTAACTAAATTTTCCATACATTCTGTTCCTACTTTTACTAACATTGCCTCCAGTGCGCGCGTTGCCGTAAGAGGAAGATTCGATGCAGCGGCGATCCTGGAAATGGTATTGGGTGCGTCAACTGTCGAACGGCTGGAGTAGAACCGGCAGGCTGTCAATTTCACAGAGTACGTTAGTTGCTTGCGTTTTGTACATTCACTCATTCAGCCAGGTGGGATCCGATTCCGTCCACAAAGTGCTAGACGACAGGAGCATGGCTTACAGCCTCAGTGGTATGGCCACTGCGCATAACAACATGATGTCCATGTACTCTACGGGAGGCAATAGCGGTCTTTATGCACGCCCCATGCCAAATCAGCAGTATTCGCAACTCGATTCAAAGCCGGCCTATTCTTCAGCATGGACTCTACCTTATTCAGAAGACACGTCGCCGGTTGACGCCTACCCTCTCGATCAGCCACCCGCATATCTACCACAGTCTACAGCAATCGCAAATACAAACATGTACGCACCTGCCTATCGCTGGACTCAGCCAACTGCGAAGTCTTTGCAGCAAGGAAGCACATACTTTGATCAGGACTTACAATTCGGTCATCCAAATGGTCAACTAGCCACACCTTCGGACGTATCGCCTCTGAATACCGGAATGTCTTCTCTGCAATTGACTATCCCTGAGAGACCCCATCCACGACAACCTCTCCCTATGGATTCCAGTGTGCCTAGGAGACAACTACCAATGCCACAACCGAGCCCGGCTCAGAGCAGTCATGTTGTAGACCAGATGCAAGATGCTCGTCTCCGCTCGGCCCAGGCTATTGGCACTTCGGGCATGGACGGTAGAGGCTCTTTCGCGAAATCCTTACTACCGTGGACTACCGACAGCGAGAGTCACGCCAACGCATCCGGGGCGGCATCTGCAGATGCCTTTACGCAACTAATATCCCCGGTCATGCCAGACAACGCGGAGAGCAGGATGAGCTACATGCCAAATACAACGTCGACCGCGGACGATGCGACTGCAACCACCGCTGCTTCTCAGCTAGAGCTGAACTTCAGTACATCTGGTCTTCTCGAAGGCATGAGTGCGCCAGCTCCAGCGACAAACTACTCCTACGTCCGTGAGACACGCCCAATGACACGACCAGCCTCACAGACGAATCTATACAGCTACAGCCCTGACTCGTCGTCAAAGCGGAACTCGCTGAGTGGCGAGTCATCGAGCGATTGCACACTTGTCAGTGGTCATCGCTACACACCTCTCAGCCACAGCCAAACACGAAGCTCCCCAGGAAATCGCAGCTTGCATCGCGAGTCGTGCCAGAATCGGAACATGCAGCCTGTGCAGCTCCACCGCACCTCGATGGGAAACCTCAACAGCACTTACTGAGATACCGCTTTCAGCATCACGGCGGATCAGCCTGCCTGCATCGATCTTCTTGTCTCGTCACTATTGCGTAGCCAAATCTTTTTTTCCACCACCGTGGGGTACTTAATGGTCTGAATTTATGCCAATGTACAACATCTCACATCGCTGCATCCTTGGACGGGAAGCTTCAGTCAGCACGCTGTTCCCTCTCTGCATCTTAGTCCCATCAATCGACTCGTCGAGCACTCCGTCATCATTATGAGCATGGCTCTCGGCTCGGTTCACGTTACGCTTTCGCATTGTCCTCAGCAACCGGTGAGCCATTTCCGGTTGGCGTTCATCAAACCATGTTTCCTTTCTGCTTATTCAACACTGTGTTGTAACGCTATGTATTCGTCTCGATGTTCTACACCGCATTGCTTTCAGCATCATTGCTACGCTACGAAACGTTACGATTGTTTTCTGCTTGGGCGGCTAATGTCTATTCCTGTACATCAGTATCACTACCATGTCTTCTCATCAAGACAAAACGCCAGGGCCGCTCCTTAAACACACCCCGCATTCTTATCACGTTCACACTCGCTCAAATTGGGAAAAGCACATGTCGCAAGCTTAGTGTGTATAAGGCTGCTGCGCATGCGATACCACGGAAACATAGGAGGTCATGTACCGGATACTTTGTACTGATTAGCATAAAAGGTGTCATGAGCGAATAATGATAATCGTAACGAGCTTCAACCCCACGGTTCCACCTGTAGAGTGAAGCAAGGTACTGTCACCACCTGACGCGCGTTGCTCACCACTCTCACGTTGTTCCAAAAAAGATATGCACGTTCTCGCTTCTCCAAAGAGTTTACCTTGAGCTGCGCAACCACACTTCGACAGTATACCCCTGCCTAACTCCCAGACACCTCAGCTCACGCCTGATCGCATATCACTTCTCCCCAAACACTCGCTGCAAAACACCGAAAACAGACCCACACCACCTCGTAACGACATCCCCCAACCACCAATCTCTCTTCCACATACCGCTTTCCACCATCCGTCTCCCCACATACACACATCGCAGGCTACACACCGCCCCGAACCCACACAACCAAACGCAGTAAACAAACGCTCGTTTCAGAACACGGGTCCGGGCTGCATCTGGACCCTGCCGCAGGGCAGGTGCAGGCATATCCTCCTTGCTCGCGTTACACAGGACAGCCCGTCACACACGCACAAAGCCGGTCAGCAGGTGTCGCACAGCAGACCATGCAGGACTGGATGCGTAGTATGAGGCTCCACTCCTGTACGGCGCGTCTACGGTGATTATCCCAAGAGCGTTGCATGTGTGTTGTAGGAGGGTGCGTGGTGGATGGGGAAAGGGGCCGAGGGGCGGTGTGATGCGTGTGGATGGGGGAAGTGGTGCCGGGAGGAGGTGGGGGACACAGAGGTGATGGGTTGGGAGCTAGAAGGAGGGTTTGTGGTATCGAAGGATTTTGTGAAAGGCTGGTTTAGGGGTTGGGGTTGGCGGTGGGCAGTAGATGGTGGGTCGTCGTCCACCTGTCATAGCGCTTGCCGCTGAGCAACGCTGGGGTGAAAGGCTCTCGCTCAGCCTTGTCTTGCTTCGTCCTACAGCTGCTGCTTGCCGGTCGGACATTAAACATCTTTTTGGTCAGAAAAGGAGCTTGCGCTGCGAGGCATGATCAGCCAAGTATCGCAAACGACGTGCATCAGGCGGTGGATATTCAGCGGCTATGATGTCATAATCACAGCACGCATGCCACGGCGTCGCGACTACTCTCGCGCAGGGCTGGGAACAAGAGAAGATATGACTTGCCTTCATATTTCCATAGCAGCTGCTCATACATACCCCTTACCCTTATCCTCTTCAATAAGTGCTCGTCGTAACACCCAACCTCCCCCCATCGTTAACAAGAACCAACCCATTACAAAAGCTCCCCGCCCGACTCGCAAGATACAGCACCGTCCCACCCATCTCCTCCTCTCCGCCAAACCTCCGTGCAGGAATGAAGTTCGGATCGTCGACGCTCTCTGTACTGGGGTCTCTGCCTTCGATAACTGCATTGGCCATCTCAGATGGGAAGACTGACACGCTGTTAGCTACGGACCGGTAGGTTTGCGGGAGGGGGAGACGAACATCCAGGCGCCAAAGCATTGGTTCTGATACTATGCGGCGCAAGCCCCGTACTGGCATGTTTAACCAAATGCATGATTGCTGCTTTGCTCCCTGCATACGCTGGTGCGCATTGCCATTCACGCAGGAAGGCGCCTACGCTGGACGTGACAATGACTTGTGACTGGATGCTTGGTACTTTGCTACCTTCTTTCAGTGGCTTACCAAACCCACCGGCTATGGCACTCGTATTCCCTGCATCCAGTAGTTCGAGAAAAGCCAGCATAGTAAAGTACGTCGCGGTAGTGTTAACGTGGAAGGCCTGTGTGAAGTCTTCCATAGATGTTTTCTCGAACATATGTTCCCTCAGCTCTTTGATGCTTGAGCCGGGCATGAAGCTTGATGGTGGGCCGTAGATACCGGAGTTTGCGACCAGGAGGTTGATGTAGCTTGTGTCTTGGGCGATGAAGTCTACGGCGGCTTGGAGAGATGCTTTGGATGAAATGTCGCATTGGATTGGGATGATGTTTTCGTGTTGAGAGGTTGCGGCGGACAGTTTGTCCTCGCGGCGACCGAGGATGTATACTTTGGACGCGCCGGCGGAGGCGAGGGCATGGGCTATCATGAGGCCGATCCCTGGGGTACTGTTAGTGGTTGCTTTGGTGATTAAATGACATGATGGTAAGAAGAGATGTTACCTGTTCCTCCACCTGTTACCACTGCGATCATGCCTTCGACACTGAAAAGCTGTGAAGTATCCATCTTGGGTGCAATTAGATCAGTCTAACAGCGAAAGACGTCCTCTGCTGTACTCAAGTCAAGTATATATAGTTCTGCTAGGAGAATCTACTCAATAGTGACGCATAAGCACCTCATCTCTGCGTGAGAATACTATGTGTTGAATGTAGACTACACGTGAGATGAGATCAACGCCCAACTGATAGTCAAGAGCGATAACTCCGCAAACCCCGACAGCCTCCCAATGTCCACTCCGTGGCTTACGAACGCCAAGGACGTCAAGAAGTGGACCTCAAAGCAAACCGTGACGCTTCTTGATCATGTCCGCAGCCTAAATACCATCAGGATACATAATCACACACTTTTCTCAATCGTAAACTCACCTTCTCAGCTCCAGCATACACACTAGCCTGTGGCCCACCACCAGCAACAAGCGGCCACGTACTCGCATCCACCACACTCATTCCGAACGTGCCATAGACTCTATTCTGCGGGTCGACGACCCCGCCATCTTCTCTTGGCATCATAGCAGCAGTACAGCACTGATGCGCGTTACTTGGCTGCAAGGCAGCTTTGATCTTCTCCTTGATATCTTGCTCACTGCTGATGTCCGGTGCGGGTGCTGTCTCTATGGGACCGAGAATGGCAATATCAGGTGTTGCCATTAGTTCGCGGTTCTTCATATAGATCGTGTAGAGCATATTAAGGTCGGTTGGGTCTGTCAGCGCACCGTAGTCGATGAGTGGAGCGTCGAAGATGTTGGTTGAGTTTATGGTGATTGAGCCACGACTGAGAGGGCGGGTCATGTAGATGCTCGTTTCTGGGCCGGTGTTCCATGATAAACCACCCACGGCCTCTACGTTGATGTCCTTGAGGATGATGGCACGCTGTTTCTCATACCCGGCGAGAACTGATGGCTCGACATCGCTACCAAGTACATCGCTCGGTGAGAGTGAGGATGCTCGAGATATGATGGATGCGGAGTCACTCGTCCAGTTTGACAGCGGTAGCTGGATCATGAGATTTCCAGTTGTACCAGTGAGGTCAAATGCGCTTGCTTTTCCAGCGTCGTAGAGAGCGCGTTGTTCTGTGGCGTACGTGGCGTTGGACTGCAAGGAACCGCCGTTTGGAAAGTGATTAGATGTATCTGTATCAATCAGCCGACCTATAAACGATAAACATAGAGTTTAGTCGCGTACAGTTGTAATTCACTTTCAGAACCAGATGATCCTGCAGATTTCGACCGACACCAGGGAGACCTGAAACAGTCTCAATAACCAAGCTCTTCAGATGAGCAGTGTCGCCAATCCCAGAAAGTTGCAGGATCTGTGGGGTATGAACGCTTCCAGCAGCTGTGATGACTTCTTTGCTCGCTCGGACAGTGTGCTTCTCGCCACTGGTTGTGCCAATATACTCCACGCCTACAGCGGTGACATTCTCGAACAGAATGCGCGATACCGCTGTATTCGGAAGGATATGATAGTTTGGCCTCGCCGCATCCTTATCATAGCGATTGATTCGAGCTGAAGAACGCGTCTGCGTTTTGGGATCAACGGAGCGAAGGAGACGGAATATGCCTTGAGCGCGGCCATTGTTGGGATCCAGGGCTGGCTGGATACCTAGCTTCAGGGCTCCATTGTACATATTGGCTTTACTGATGGTAAGCTTCTATATATTGCAACTGACGTGATGAGGACTGACCACTACCCGGGTAGTCATACGGAGCATGGCTAGCCTGCACTGGGCCCTCAAAGCCATGTACGGAAACATCCCAAGTAATGTTGTGACTAGCTGCATAGTCCGCGTCCGGTGCTGTAAACGTCTCACTCTCCGCCTCATCAGCATACGGTTCAGAAAGCGAGAGTAAACCATACCTTCTTGAAGTATGGAAGCAGATCAGCCCAACCCCAGCCGGTCGCACCCAGTTCTTCCCAAGCGTTATAGAGCTCTCCGTCTGATCGATGGAAGAACATGGCGTTCACGACAGACCCGCCGCCCACCACCCTGCCACATGGCACACCATACGATGTACCACCAAGCGCGGTTTGTGGCGTACTCATCAAGGGCAGCCAGAGGTAAGGCACCGGAAAATAGGCACCAGGGATCATGATACCATCTTCTCTCTGGTCGAAAGGGCCGTATTCGACTACTAGTACTGTGACTA